GGGGGGGGGGGGACGTGGGTGGGTAAGTTACGGCAGGTGATGTTGTTCCATCCCAGAGTGTAGCCGGCCGCGCACTCGCAGTGATACCCGCCCTTGGTGTTGACGCACAAGCCGAATGGCGGCGAGTCGCACAGAGTGTCGTCCTTGTCGCACTCATTCAAGTCAGCCACACACCACGACGACACACCCACACGAGCCTCCTCCCTCCATGTGTCCATCTATCTCTCCTTGCTGTGCCGGTCATGCCGACGGTACCGATGCATGTGGCGTTCTGTGGGCCGTCAGGGTCCTTCTCGTACCCCGGCTCACACACGCACTCGAAGCCCGGGAACAGGCTCCTGCAGAGGGCGTGAGGGCCACAAATGCCGCCCGACTTGGCCGTCTCGGCGCACTCGTTGATCGCTGCCACACACGCACACAGAGAGAGAGGGAGAGAGAGAGAGAGAGAGAGAGGGTGAGACATGATCCGGAGGGCGGTGTGTGTGGATGCGTATGCGTCTGTGGGATTGGCATGTGCCAGGCTGGCTGCCTTCTCGGTACCCCGCCCCACAGCCGCATTCGAATCCGCCAGGCGTGTTGCGGCACTCCTGCCCGCACGTATTGAGCGTGCTGTCCTCGCACTCGTCTATGTCTAAACACACGAACACACACACACACACACACATTCCTGCCTCCTGTCTGTGTCTCTGCGCTGCATCATGGCTGTCGTGACGCACCGATGCACGCGTGGCGGTCGTCCGCGAGCTTGTAGCCCTTGTCGCACTCGCACCTGTAGCTCTTGGGGAGGTTGATGCAGGTGTGGTCGCACAGAGAGGTGCCCTCCGCGCACTCGTCGACGTCCACACACTGGTTCTTGACGACGTCGTAGAACTCCCCCTTGCTGCAGCGGCACTCGTGGGAGCCCTCCTTGTTGATGCAGCTCAGGCTGGCCGGGCAGATGTTGGGCGTCAGACACTCGTCGATGTCTGCCATGAAGACATCGTTGATCATTATGTGGGAGAGGAGGGAGGTGGTGTGGGGCTGTGTGCTCACCGACACATGTCTTGTTGTCTTCTGAGAGCTCGAAGCCTGCCTCGCAGCTTCACGAGAAGCTGCCATTGGTGTTGATGCAGGCGCCGTTGCAGCCACCATTGGCATGGGAACACTCGTCTATATCTGATTGCACACCACACCACACCACACCACATGTCAACCATGGCTCCCTCTTGATGCACACAAAGTCAGTCAGGCGGGGCGGACCTTCGCAAGTGCGGTCCTCAAAACTGTAGGCGAAGCCTGGCGGGCACTCGCAGGTGTAGCGGCCCGGGAGGTTCCTGCAGCCCAACAGGGGAGGGGGGCAGACACTCCCTGGCCGCTGCTGCTGCCCCTCGGCCAATGTCTCATTGCACTCGTTGATGTCTGCGCGCACGGCCGGACACACAAAGGACGGCATCTGTGTGTGTGTGTGTGTGTGTTGTGTATTGTCGCGACCGACCGATGCATTGCGTGCCGTCGGTGCTGGGTCGGTATCCCGTGTCGCAGAGGCACTGGTACCCTCCCTCGGTGTTGGTGCAGATCCCCCCGCTGCAGACGTCCTTCTTCTCGGCACACTCGTCGACATCCTCGCACTTCATCGTCAGCTCGTTATGCCGAAACCCCTTTCTCCCACACACGCAGCTGTACTCGCCCACCGTGTTAGCGCAAGTGGCATCGTCCCCACAGAGCGGCGCTTGGGGCAGGATGAAGTCGGGGTTGACCGTGGTGTACTTGCCCCGGTTAACATGCCGGGTGGTGATGTCGCTGCGGAGCGGGGTGGCGCCGCCGGCTGTGAGAGCGCACTCGTTGAGGTCCTCGCACTTGGTGTGGTCGAGGGAGGGGACGAACCCGGTGAGGCACTGGCACTCGAAGCCGCCTTCGGTGTTGACGCACGCCGTGGTGGTGCTGTCGCCACACACGTCCGGGGCGGCCTCACACTCGTTGATGTCTGCCCCGAAACAATACATACACACATTTCTCTGTGCGTTCACGATCTTGTCGATGGTCGGTCACCCACCCTGGCAGATGGTTTGGCCTTCACCGGTGCCGTGTGGGTCAGGGGCCTCCTTGTATCCCTCGCGGCACCTGCACTCGAAGCCGCCCTCGTTGTTGACGCACTTGCGCTTGGGGTCCCGGCAGGCAGGAGTGCCCTTGGCGTCGATGCCGTCAACACACTCATCGATGTCTGATGATTGATGACACGAATGATGCACACATGTCTCTGTCTGTGTGGGCTGCTGGTGGCTGTAGTGTCTGTGTGTCTGTGTGCGTACCGACACACAGTGGGTGGAATTGGTCAGCGTGGGGGTCCATATGGAAGCCATCCTTGCAGCTGACACACAGACACAGCAGAGAGAGGGTGGGGCTTGGACGTGTTGTATCGTGTTGTGTTGTGTTGTGTATTGGGGCTGACACGCATTCGTATCCCTTGGGGGTGTCCCGGCAATTGCTTTTGCCGTCCTCGCCGCAAGGGGCCTCCATGTCTCGACACATGATGGCTGCATCACATCACACCCACACACAGCCGATGGATGGCAACATACATGCATCGATTGCTTCGTCACTTGTGAGCGTGTGATCACGTTGGCAGTCGCCGGCAAGGTCCTTCTGCATGTGCAGGGGGCACCCACACGTGTGGCCGCCAGCATAGTCGAAGCACTGGTCCTGACAGGGGTTCTTGAGACACTCGTCCTCATCTGAGCCCGCCCACATGAATGGGTTGACCCTCAATGTGCCATAGTGTGGTAGGCCCATACCGATGCATGTGGTGTTCCAGTCGTCGGCAGGGAGCCATCCGGCTCTGCATTGGCAGTAGAAGCCGCCGGGGGTGTTGATGCAGTCGGCGTGGCGGGGGCAGGGCGACGTCTCTATCGAACACTCGTCGATCTCTGACACAGATGAAACAGATGAATGAAATCGGGAGAAAGAATGCCGGACATGGCTACCTTTGCAGGCTGTGTCGACTCTCTCGTAGCCCACCCTGAGAAGCCGGCCGGCCATGGACAGACAGACAGACAGTGAGTGTACACACACACACACACACACATATTTCGATTGCATGCTCGCACCACCGACCTGCAGCTGCAGTGAGCTCCGTCCCTTCTGTTGTCACAGTACTGGTCGCAGTTGCCATTGTCCATCGCACAAGGGTCCTCACTCGCACCCTCTGCACACATGCACACAACAGCCTCCATCATATCGACATCCCAAACCAAACTCGCCTCTGCCCACGCACTTTCGCATCTGAATCCATCGTTCTGCATCCTGAAGCCCCTCTCGCACTCGCACCTGAACGAGCCAGGCTCGTCCACGCAGCCGCCGCCCCTGTCAGAGCACAGCGACACGCCGTAGTTGCTGTCGGCGTCGCAGCCCCCGGAAACGGGGCACTGGACCGTCACGCCATCCGCCGCGGCCCACTTGACCATGGCTGCGTCCTGACGCACACGCCACTTGCCTGCAATCATCATGACATGAGACACACCCATGGGGTTATTGGTGTGGTGTCTGTCGTGTGGTTGGAATGGGATGCCATGCCTACCAGATGGCGGGAAGTCATAGCGGGATGGCGCGTACGCGAGGACCTCCCTCGTGTCGAGGTCGGTGTCGAAGACCCACCATCCGTTGGCAGTGGCGGTCGGCAGGGGCCAGCCCCGCTGCAGCCGCTCCAGCACAAAGGAGTGGTTGGCTGGGGGAATCCAATACAGATGCACGCCGCCCTTCTGCCAGTGGGGCCTGCAGAGAGAGGCGGACAGAGATGGGATGGGCAGGGGGGAGAGGTGGGTGGGTAAGGAAGCCTACTTACTTTCCGTTGAGAGGATGGCTGGCGTTGGTTTCCTCATAGGTGCCACTGAGTGTTTTGCCCAGCGCATTGGGCATCCCCAACACCTCCACAAACGGCTTGCCGAAACACGCTGAATGGGCCAACACAGAAGACACACACACATTATGTTAGTGTGTCGATACCTCTTCTGCCTGCCTGTCTGTCTGTCTGTCTGTCTGTCACCTCCTTTCTCCTGCTGTGGTGGGTTCGATAGGTGCCGGCAGGTCAGCCGGAAGAACGCACAGTCCTCCTTGCACTCCACACCAACAATTACGCCCTCCGCCTAACAACCCAGCGCACAGCAACCATTTCTCCCTCTCCCTGTGTGGAGCATTGCATCACTTACGCCGCATGACAGATGGTCTGTCGCCCCCGTGGTGCTCCACAGAGTGGTCCACGCCCCACGGTCGATGCGTGACCTCCCAAGGGGTCGGCCACACTGAATCCGGATGGACCGGCACTTGCCCGGGTGGCGGAACTCCGACGTGCTCTGCAAGGGTGCGGGGCAGTCGGCTGGCAGCAGCTGGAGGCGGGAGGTGGCCTGGCCGGGGGGGCAGATGGTTTGCTGGTGGGGCTGCAGCCACTCGCCTTCGCTCAGCTTGACGTCGGACTTGATGTCAAAGCGCATCTTCATGCAGAACCTGGAGGGGGGGAAGGAGCACAGAAATGCATGGGCAGGGTGTTCCTGTGCTATACACTACTGACTCTTCGGTGCATCTGAGTCCCTTGTAGGCCGTGGCTGTGTAGGGACTGAGGCCCCCGTTGGCCGTGCTGAATATGTGGGTCATCTTCTTGGCTGCCGGCACGACCACAGCCGCGTAGATGCCCCACTCCTCAACGCGACACACGTTCCGACCCCTGATGGATGGATGGATGGATGGACCACAATAAGGGAATGGTCGATGCGATTCAGCGCACCTTTCCATTTTGAAGTATCCATTTGCTGCGAATGAGGTGCCCCATGAGTTGCGCAGCAGCCAGTAGAGGGTGCCGTCCTCCTCGTCCCAGCCCACCAGCACGGCGCTCTGGCTGCCCACTGGCGAGTCACCGGATACATCATCGCGGCTGTACACACCTGCAAGACAAAGAGAAGGTGAGAGGAGAGGAAGGGCCAATAGTGCTACTCGTCTTCTCTCTCTCTCTCTCTCTCTCTCGCCATGCAGCATAGTACCGTCCGGCACTTCGGTGAAGTACTCAAAGAAATCGGGGTAGACCTCAAACGCCACAAAGAAGGGGCCCCGCTGAGACACACAGATAGATACAAACAGAAAAAGGGAAGTACCATGAGAGTTTTTGCGTCTCCTGTCGCTCTGTCATGTCTGTGTCTCTCTCTCACGCTGATGAGCTCCATCTGCATCTGCCGCATGACCTGCCCCACACAGGCCCGCCCGCCCGTCGCCCGCTGCTCGCCAGGGCGGGACAGACGGTAGTACTCGTTGATGAACACACGGCTGGAGGGAGTGGCGGGGTCTTTCAGCAGTAGATCCTCGGCACAGAAGGGCATCTGGCTGATGCACTGCGGACAGTCGGGCCTGCATCAGGGAAGGGCACGAGTGCGTCCATTTGCTGGCTGCTTTGTGACCGGTCCCAATCGACCCACCTGCATCCCTCCTGAGTGGTGATGGCCTCCTCCCCACTGTCCATCTGCAGAAAGCTCTCTTGTCCCTTTGAAGACTGCCTTCTGCTGGCCTTGGAGGCGCTGTGCGTCTCGAGCATGGCGGCGTAGTTGTCGGGCGGCGGGGCGACGGTGATGGGCGACCCGTCCACGTCGATATCGGTCGGCCACCGCGCCACGTGTGGCCTGCCGTTGCCGTGCTCGCCATTGGGGCCTGGCTCGACGGTCTGTGGGGACGCTTCTCTGTGCCAGCAGTACACTGCATAGACAGAGACAGAGACAGAGAGACATGGGACTTGCCCACGAGACGAGGGCGGATCGGAAATGTCGGCAAAGTACTCACTTTCATAAGGGTAGTCTTCGGCGAACCCGACTCCTTTGTTGCGTATGTACTCGAGTGCGATGCTGGCCCAGCCGCCCTCACAGCCGGGCCTGAGAGACTCCTTGGCCTCGAACTCGACCTCGCTCTCGTTCATCCGGGGCCACCCAGCACATGACAGCACCTGACGTGGTACAGGAATGGTGTCAGGGGAGGGAGGGAGGGAGGGAGGGGAAGGAGGTGGGTAGGGCGTGCCCACCTGTTGGACGGAGAGGTGTCTTCTCATCTCATTGGAGATCATGCGGTCTGGGTTGGCGATGCAGGCGCGGTCACTGAGCGCACCCAGAAGCTGACCACATATCCGATGAACCAAGCACAACAGATGAACATTTAATGACAGGTGGAGAGTCGATCGGCCTACCGCAAATGCCCAGCATGCACCACAGTAGCCTGATACACGCGGCCCAACGCAACAACACACCACACCACACCACACCACAAGGAAGAGTCCGTCCTTTTTGAGCGATCCGGAGACAGAAGGACATCTGACCTTGGCTCTGGACTTCTGAGTGGTCAGGGGGGAAGCAGAAAGGATAGTGCTTCCGAACGTCGTACTCAACGGGCAGCTTCAGATGACGGGTCACCCACGTCTCGCGAACCTGCCACACAAACAAAGACAGACAGACAGACACTTCTCATGCATTTCTGTCTGTGCGTCACTCCCTCCTCACCTGTAATAATGAGAGGTCGAGGTTCATGCCCATGCCGCCCTTGCTCATGCCCCAGAACCCCTGCGACCGCTTCACACGCTCCATCGTCCCCCCAATCCCCAGCCGAACCCCCAGCTCCTTGACCTCTTCCAGAAAGCCCGCCTGCTTCATGTCGCCCCTCGCGAGCTCGTCCCTCAGCTTGGGGTGGGGCATTCCCTCCATGTGCCTTCGCGGTTTGCGGCAGATGTAAGGGAGCGAGGTGTTGCAGTGCTGGGCCACGACCTTGGGGACGTCCAGGGTCAGGTGGCCGGGGCTGAGGGCCCCACACGATTGGTCGGGTTTGCGGCTGGTGGGCGGGCTGTAGGGGTGCAGACCAGTGGAAGCCTTCAAGGGAGTGCCGTCGAGGTACTCCCAGGCGTTAACCGACGTCTGATAATGAGCCCCTGTGAGCAAAGAACAGACGTCCATATATGTGAGACGGCTTCTGTGTGTCGGCGGTGTCTGACCGATCCAGCACAATGGCTGATTGCACAGGGGGGCGAGGAATGCGCGTTCGTTGCTGGTGACGGGCATCACAAGCTTGGCCCCGTAGTCGTCGCGGCATCGCTTGACAGCGTTGTGGAAAGACTCGGGGCGGTGGATCAGCTTGAAGCAGTAGACGCCATGCTTCGAGAAGCCCTCCTCACACGCAACTGTGCTCAGAAATGGGTCAATTGGCGGAGCTGGTGCAGTGCAGTGCATCCATCCCTCCATGTGTATGTGTGTGTGTACGTGGCAGTGCGAATGTGGATCTGCTTGTGAGGAAGCAGACGCCAGAGGGGCCCTCCACAGTGCCCACAAGCGAAGACACTATGTGCGTCGTCGGTGCCCGGCCTTATGGAGCACAAAAAGAAAGACATACAGGGAGGAGGGATTGTCGCTGTCGATGCATCCATCCCCATCCATTGCCATAGAGATCATTAAATGCTCACTTGAGTCTGCCCTCTTGGCGTAGACGGTCATGCTGATGAGCGGCGCGATGCTCATGTGCGGCGGGCTCTTGCACTGATCGGCGTCAAAGCACCGACACACACCTCCCCCAAACGGGCTCGGGTCCCAGTCACACAAACCATGCGCCCAGCAGAACTCTGACCAGCGACACACGAAAGCAACACGTACATGTGCATCCTCTTCCTTCAACGAGCCCACTTTTGCAAGATTCGTGATCGGCGGGAGCGTCGAGGACACGCTTGAGCATCTGCTGGCAGCCGCGGGACTCGGTGATCTGCTTGCCGGGGTAGGCCTTCCACGAAGGTCCACTCGACAACGATGCGGTGGAGATTCAAGGTGGTCGTGGTGGTGGTCGTGGCGGTCGTCTCATTGGACGGCGATCCAGGCGCAGAAGAGACGTTCACCTGGATTGCATTTAATGGAGGGATGCTCAAGTGTTGCACGAGTGCTTATTCTCTGACCTACATCGGCTCACCCTGTCCCTGACGGCGACGACCATGCTGACATCGAATCCCTGCACAATCTGGACCGACGAGCGCAGCACCTCGACGATCTCAATCTCCTTCGAGTCGTGGCACAGCCGGCTGGTCCGCTCCCTGTTGAGCGCCGCCTCGGCAGCCATCCGCGAGCTGACCACCAGACGGCTGTCCACAGGCACCTGCCGGCCGCTCTGGGGATCTGTAGCCGTCTCCTCGCATGGAGCTGATAGACAAGCATTCGACAGATGCACACATGGCTGACATCCTTACACGTGGCTTACGAGGGAAAGGGCGTTGTATTTGCCATTTCCACAGTCCAGTGCGGTTCGTGAAGTGGATAAAGGTGAAGAAGGACGGTGGCTCCTCCAGCAGCAACAGGCGGTCGGAGGGGGCCTTGGCCTCGCCGACACGCCAGTGGCCGGCGATGAGCGATTGGGGTGCGATGGGGTCCAATGGGTCGGGGACACACTGCTCACGTTCTTTGTTGATCGCCCTCATTGCCTCATTGCCCAATACCTGCACACAAGACACACGTGGACAAGAGAATACACCAGAACAAAGCCAGACAGAAGGGCGACAGCCTCCGGTATACACACCAAGTCGAGTTTCTGTCTCTCCTGGCAAGACGCCGCAATCAGAGACGCCTTCGCCATGCCGTGGATCTCCAGCCACCGCTCAAAAGCTTCGAGGGTCTCCTTGTCAACTGAACGTCCAGCACAGAACAGAACAGAAGATCCATCCATCCATCCATTCATCCATTCATCCATCCATCCATCAACACGGGATGGATTGGCTCACGGGTGTCATCAATCGTCCTCTCAGTGCATCCCTGTGCAGCGTCTGCCGCCACAGGCTGAGAAAGGTTCGATAGCGCGGCAGACTCGTGGAGGGAGGGGATACTTCTCCTTCCCTGAGCACTGCCATCGATGGCTGCGATGGGGGGAGGGGTGGGGGGGAAGAGCAGCTCGTCAGCTGGATCGGTGCTCGGCGGTGCGTTGAGGGCGTCCTCTGGGCTCTCGAAAGGCAGAGTCGGGTCATCGACGTCAGGCTCTCTTGAGTTGATAATACCACCTGCAGGCAACCAGGCAAGAACACCGCAGTGCAGATTTTATCGTGAGGTCTCTGCCCTTCACTGCATTCACCAGATGACCCATCTGGAAAGCCCTGCACGCGGCGGACAGCTGCAAATCGTAAAACGGAACACAATGCATCTTTCTGATCCAGTCCAATGGCCTCGCACACCTCTTCTGGCCTCCAGCGTCTCCTTGAAGTGTCTTCCCCGCTGCGCGCCGACCGCTATCAGTCGGATGGTTGCAACGCAGAAGCAGAGCACCGCCAAGGGACGCCAGGAGCGAAGGTGGGCCATTGTGATGGGCTCTGGTCGGCCTTTGCAATGGCGTGTGGAAGACAGAAGCCCTTCCGCGCCGAGTCGCAGAGTCTGCGACTCACGGGCCGTCCTTGGGCCGTCAAGTCAGGGCTGTGCGATTGTGCGATATGGCATTCGAACTCTCCTCCCAGCAGCTGCGCAGTGTCGCGGGGAGGGAAGGGCGAATTTGGGGACAAAGCTCGCATCCCTGCATTGGGGCCTAACAGTAGCGGTGAGGAGTGAAGGAAGCCCAAAAAGAACCATCGCGAAGCACCATATGTGCTGCTGGGTTGTTGCGCTGCTCGTTGTAGGTATCCTCTCATCCATCTGGCGTCGGCCTCCCATGTGGCAGCGCGTTTTGTCGGCCAGCCTCCTTAACGACATGAATGAGGGCTGATCTACGCCAAGGGGTCTGAGTCATGCATACTAGTTTCAAATTGGCTCCTTCTCTTGCCATCCGTCTGCTCTCGTCGCCAGAGGAGCTGCACGAGGATCTCGTCGAGGGCAGCCTTAAGACGCTGGGCAGCTTGAGGCTGGACCAGGGTGAGTGCGAGGCCCTGCGGAAGAATCTCCGCAATGGGCGACTCCTGGAGCGTGTGTTTGATGCCTTCACTAATAGCGGCAACACGGCCCGCCAGGACGACGCGGCAAACGTGCTGGCTATAGGCACAGAGGCGGACCTCACTCACCACATCATCCCGGTGTGTGGGTCGCCTCAACGGTACATCAGCAGGCTGGCCACACTGCTGACAGAGACCGACAATGACACCGTTCCGGCCATCGCCTTCGCGCTGCTGGTGGCCGCCATGATCAAGGGCCGGCATGAGGGCAATGCGGCCGACTATCGAGACCATTGTGTGCAGCACCACCCCGAAGTCTTCGGCAAGGCAGTGGCGCTTTCGGACAAGATCCCCGGTGGGTGCAGCAAGTCGCGATCGCCCGTCACCTTCCTGCTGTCGGCCTTTTCGACGGCACGTGCATTCGGCCCGCCCTTCCCTGGCCCTTTTGTCGTGCCTCCCCTGGTGTGGGTGGGCGTGTTCCGGGTAGTCGTGCGCGTCGTGACGTGTGAGGACCAGGCAACTCGGGACGAGTTGTAAGCGACTATATAGATGACACACATGCTGCAGACACTTCATGTATGGCTGCTTCGCTTCAGTGCTAACTGTATTCAGCACGCCACAGCATTTGTCCGCCAGCACATCCACTGCGTGACCGGCACAGGTAGTAAGCAAAGTCAGACATACAGACAACCTCCCACCACTTTTCCGCCACTGACTCATTGTCGTCATTCGGCTGGTGCAGGGTCGGGTTCAGAAGCAGAGCGTGCTGCGTACCTGGCTGCCATCCGTGAGGACCTCTACCCCCTCGTCGACACGTTGACGGCCACCCTGACATCCTACGACGCAGACAAGGAGGTGCGCCACGGGGCTGCCGTCTGCCTCGAGTGCATCTTCGCCTTCTGCTGCAATTTCAAGAGTGACACACTCCCACAAGACAGACAGGCCCACTTCGAGTGTGGCCTCACTTGCTGAATGCGTGTGTCCGTCCGTCCTTGGTGCAGAAGCCGAGTACTTCAGTGATGCCGACGGGCCCGTCCAGCGTTTGATGAGAGCGCCCAATGCGCTGCAGGCGTACGTCGCGGCCGTCAAGAGCCCCACCAATACCCTTGCATCTACGATAACGAGTACCACCTCTCCGATTACCCTGGCTCTCCCGGAGATGCTGGCCGGTGAGCGAATCAAACGAGGGAAGTGAATGAATGCCTCCCTCCCTGTGGGTGTGCTGCATGAATGTCTGCAGCGAGTGGACATCGTGATGCCGTGTACTCTTCTGGATGCATCTCGATGGCGTCGGATATTGTCAAGCGCCTCGACAAGCAGTCAATGGCCGAGGTGGCCTACTATGCGGCCTCTCTTCAGAACATCGTCGGAAGAGACACAGACCTCTGGGTCGAAATGGGCGCCAAGGTCAGCCCGGATGGATAAGTGGATGGATGGATGACGCGTCCATGGTCATTGTGCGGTGCTCATGTGCAGATCGCTGTACGTGACGGCCTTCCCGTAGCCCTGTGTGACGTGGCCTTGGCCTGCATCAAGAACGGTCAGCTCGACCAACAGGAGGCGGATGACTTCATAGACTTCGCCGTCAGAACCCTGCGCGTACTTGTCAGGTACGCAGACACACACACACACACACACACGCCTGTGGTGGGGGATAATGCATGCGTGTGGATGTCTTCTCGGTGCAGCTATGGCGACCGAGTGAGCAGCAAGAGGGGCGGCGTCTTCCGTCCCAATGGCGTCACCCAGGCCGTCCTGCAGCACAACTCGGTCAAGACGATGCGCGCAGCCGAGGGGCAGCCGAAAGGACGACGAAAGGCAAACCGTCAGCATCAGGATCAGCTAGCAGTGCCCAAGAAGGTGGGAAATGATGCCCACATGACGGCTCACACGGGCAGTGTCCATCCATTGTACGTGTTGTGTGTCAGTTGTTGGACTTGTTTGACGAGATCGAGAGGGCGGCCAACGAGCGGGCCGAGAAGATCATCGCAGAGCTGGACATTGAGGGCACACAGGAGGGGGCCGAGGACACCAACGACAGCAAGGGCGTCAAGAAGAGGTCCAAGGGCAAGAGGGGCGGCCAGGGAGCCTGTGCCAAGGAGTCGGCATCACCATCCAGGTGACCGCCAGAAAGGGAAAGAGCGCATCCACGAAAATGAAGGGGATGCGTGTGTGCGTGTGTGCGTGTGTGTGTGTGTATGTGTTTGTGTGCCGATCGACAGCTGTGGTGCCATCGGCACATGCGAAGACCACAGCGAGCAGCCGGATGAGGATGCAGAAGACCATCATGGCCACCTTCCAGGTCCCCCCAGCCCGTCGCCCCCCTCCCCTCCCCGACCCTCATGCTCATACTCATCGTCTGCATCGGTGCCGTCGGCTGTGTCTGGTGGAAGCTCTGCTTCGGTGGGGGACGGCAGTGGGCAGCAGCAAGCAACGGCTGGTGGTGGTGGCGATGATGGCGGCGGGTTCATCACCGTCGGCCGCAAGAAGAAGGGCGGCAAAGGCGGCAATGCACTTCAGCAGCAGCAGCAGCAGCAGCAGACCAACACAGCTGACAAAGCAAACAACAAGTCAGTAAGGCCGACCAACACTCACTGAGGAGGGACAACTCCGGTGTGCTTGTGTGTTCAGCTCGGGAGTCTTCCCGTCTTCGTCTTCTTCCGAGTCGACGCGGCCATCCTCATCGCACTCGTCTGTGTCTGGCGGGCCCCACAATGCGCCGCCTCTCTTCCCTCTGGCTCCACGCCCGGCCGTCCCGCCCCCCCAGCCTCCCAACCGACACACACCCACACCAGCACCATCCAGTAGCCGTGGTGGCTCTGACGAGCATGGCCTCGCCCCATTGGCAGCCGGGGACAGTAGCAGTAGCTCGTTGGAGAGGGCGGTGGAGGTGGAGGGCCGCAGTGGTCAAGACAGGTACGTATCGATGGACAGAGCAGCCGAGGAAGACGGACAGACAGACAGACAGACAGACAACGGTCACTCTCCCTGCCCCTCCATGTGTGGTTGCGTGAGCAGGTATGGTGGGGAGGTTAGTGAGTTGGATGCGCTGCGCAAGCAGCTCGAGGCCATGCGGCTGGAGAAGGAGGCCATAGAAAGGGAGAAGAAGCGGTACGTGAGGCGACGCCACACACCTGCAGTGCAGTGGTTGCATGCCCCTCTTTCATGGGCGTCTGATGGATGGGTGGTTTGCTCCCTGCAGGCTGGAGGAGGAGCGCGAGAGCACTGAGTGTGACATCTGCATGGCCTCAAAGAAGTCCATCGTACTCATTCCCTGCGTAAGCCAACCAACGCACAGGCACAACGACTCAACTTCCTCTCAGCCACCACGCCACGCGCTGCCCAAATATATGTGTGTTTGAGTGTGTGGTGTGTAGCGTCACTTCTGTCTGTGCGGTGTGTGTGCGACGGCCTTGATGTCCAAACCAGTGGCCGAGCGGCTGTGTCCGCGGTGCCGACAGGCCATCACGGCCACACGACACGTCTACCTGTGAGTGCAGGGCCATCGTGCTACGACGCACGAGAGACACATGCTGGCGGCTGGATGAGTGACACGCCTGTAGACGAGCCATTGATGTTGGGGGGCAGGTGTGGTGGGTGGGTGGGTGGCAGCTGTGTGTGCATAGCATAGATGTGACTGACTGGCGGACTGGCTGACAGAGCGAGAGGCGTGTACAGACTTATTTGCTTGCTTTTCCTGCATAGCGCGCGACTGGCTCGGATGCGGGACGGAGTTGATGAAACATGAGTCCGATTCGCCGGGTCATTCACACGAACACGAACACAATTTGCGTTCTCACACTCAGTCGTGCCTGGTGTCCAACCCGTCGACTGCCTGCACAAGGCATCCCACGTATGAACAAAGGAGTCCCGATGTCCTAAAGACCAACTTCTCACCTGAGTGCCCAGGCTGGCAGGAACTGTTTCACCGAATCGTGCCCTAATTACAAGCTCGGTTCGCCGAGTAGTGCGTTGCTAGTCTGGTTGCGGCGATGTCGGCTGCAGCAGCAGTAGCTGACGGGCGGAAAAAGCGAAAGAACCACCACAATGGAGTAGCTGATGAGTCCGTCGCCCCATCCCGGTTGCATGGCGTGACGAGCGGCCGCGAGGACGCTGATGTGCTGCTCAAGGAGATCTCTGGATGCATGGACGGCCTGCGAGGAGCGGTCAAGACGGCAGCAGCCGCGGCAGAAGGCAAAACAGAGAAGCTGGCGGGGGAGATCAAGCAGATGATCACGTCGAACGGCGGCACGGTTTATCCGCAGCAGACGAGCGGCAAGCTGAAGCTCAATGTGGGCGGCACCGTTTTGTCCATCCCGGTGTCGTCCCTCCTGCAGCCCAAGGTGAAGAGGACCTTCCTCTCCACCCTGCTGCTCCACTTCACGGACGCGCTGCCCAAGGACACCAACAAGGTGCCCTACCTCGAGATGCACCCGCCCTACTTCCGCTGGCTGCGCAACCAGCTGGCGCTGCTCGAGAGCCCCCACATCAGCGAGATAAAACTCCTCCCTCCCAAGAGCGACGACCCATCCCATGCCGAGTACCACTCTCTGTTCATGCAGAAGCTGGGCAGCGACATCGAGGAGCAGCCACAGGCGCCGAGCACGTCGGCTGCAGCAGCTGCTGCTGCAGCGGCGGGAGGGAATGGCGAGATGGCCGATGCGGGTGGAGGCGGGTCGGATGAGCTGATTCTGTTGGACGACTCCACGTCTGAGGAGGAGAGCGACGAGGGCGGGGAGGGTGGGGCGAGGGAGGCGTTTAGGGAGATAGACCAGTACGTGAGGCGGTACAAGGGCCTCGTCAGTGCACTGCGGAAGCAGAAGGAGAAGATGGAGGCGTTCCTGTCGGCGATGCGGCCGTTCGTCAAGGGGGAGAGTAGCGACGAGGATGTGGAGGTGATGACGCTGAGCGTCAACGACGAGGATGTGTCGGTCCTCCGCCGCACCGTCGCGCCACTCGGAGCCGGCCATGCCCTCGTCAAACGCTACGACAAGTAGGAAGGCATGGGAGGGAAGGACCGAACTAAAGAAACATATGTACATGTGTGTGTATCCTTGTATGTGCTGCTGCAGGGACAAGTGGCCCGATCAGGATGTGCATCAGACGTCCGACGAATTCCTCCAACTCATCGTCGACTTCGCGCGCCGGCTGACATGCATACCAGACGGGCGATTTGTGCATCCTCCGGTCGTGGCGCAACACGACAAGGAGATATTTGCTGTGGAGCTCGGCATGTACGGCCTCAGTACGGTGCCGACCGTGGTGGGCGGGGCGGCGGAGGCCTCCACGGTCATCAGGACGGCTGACGAGTGGCTGCAGGTGATGAAGATGACGAACAAGAAGATCGCCGTGCCTCCATCGCTGCTATACAAGTGAGACCGACTGCTGACACAGAGACGGGCAGAACGGACGACAAGCCATGAATCTAATTGCGTCATCCACGCAGGGGCAGCCGCGACACGTATGTGTTCCCCAAGATGCTCGAGTGTGTCGAGAGCAAGAGCGGCCTGCTCTTCGCCCTCCGAGATGGCGACACTCACCGATTCGGCTGCTTCATCGACGGCCCCCTCACGCCGCCTGACGACCCCACAGATTTCCACAAGTACAAGGTGCCCGTCTTCTTCTACTCGCTCAGCGGCGCGTATGATGCGCCGACCAAGATCGAGCCGCCCGAGGGGAGGCAGAGGGCAACTTGGCAGAGGGTGACGGTCGCCGGCACACAGGGGGCGGTGAAGGACTGTAAGGGCGAGCCGACTGCGAACGTGAGCATCGCTTGCGGTCGTCTCTGGCTGGGGTATGCCGATCCTGGTCCTGCGGCCGACCTCAGCAGCTGCCAGCAGGGAATCGAAAAGAAGCATCTACTGGCAGCAGGGGAATACAGGGGGAAGGTCAAGCATGGCGATGGGCCACTCGCCCAGCAGCAAGACTTCACGTGCAGCGAGATGGAAGTATGGCACATCAAGGAGGTAAGGCGCGCGCCAGCAGGACGCATGCCATGGTGGCTGTCATGTGGAGCCCTCTATGGATGTGCCTGTGCATATGTTTTGTAGGTGGTGAGTGGCTGAGCGCACCGGACGGCGCCACATGGATGATGACGGCGGAGGCAGGTGGGTGAGAGGACCTTCCAAAAACAACAGAGGCCTGCCGCTCCGGTGTTCCTGTATTTGTGTGTGCCTCTCGCTATCTCTCTCTCTCTCTCTGTGTGTGTGTTGCAGAGAGTGCCGGCGCCTGATGGGTAGAGGATGACATCTGTTGGCGCCTTAGCGATAGACGTCCCGACCCTACTTGCATGCCTATGACATGACTGACTGATTCATGATTGCTTCAAAAGCCAGTGCACAAAGATGGTGTCGAGCCGTGATACGTGTGTGTGTGTGTGCCTCCCTCCAACCATCGCCAACACACCTGTGTGTATCAACAAATGGATTGAGAAGGCAGTCAAAAACACAGTAAGTCGAGTAGGTCGACGCACCCCACCCCACCCCACCACCCACCCGCCCACATAAATGTACGCGCTCATCCGCCCCACCCCGGCCGTACGGTCCAGCTATGTCCCTTTCTTCTCCTGCTCCTTGGCCTGCACCTCCTTGAACCCCGATATGACCTTGTCGCGCTCGTCAACGCTTTCAAGCAGGACGCAGCCGTGGCCCTCCAACGCGTCGTCCGACGCTGCAAACATCATGCAAAGAGCAGGCATTGACATACCTCTCACACACTGCTGCGCTGTGCTGTGCTGTGTGCCCACGTACACTGGGTCTCTGGCGAGTGCAACAGAGGGGCGCTGACTCGAAAAGGACGGGCACCTACAGTGCATGGGGCAGCGCATGCACTTCTTTTCCATGCTCGTTTCTGTTGGGGTCACTGGATGCAGTCAGGCATACCGATGAACAAGAGGCTGTCCCACTCATCGTCGTGCAGGGCGAGTTTGGGGTTCAGCCTCAGCAGCTCTGCCGGTCCCTCGCGAAAGGTCTGATACTTGGATGACCTCAGGTCGCACGAAAATGGGGCCTTCTTGCCCTCTGTGTCCCTGACGCACAGACACACAACACACACACAGACAGACAGCAGAGTTGGAAATGCGCTGAGTGCAATCGACGGTGCGTGGTGTTGTGTGTTACTTGACGGTGACGAGGTACTGTTTGAAGTTGACAACGAAGGTCGCGTCATGCCGGATGCCGCTGATGAGATCAATCATCTCGACCTTGACACCCTGAATGAAGTAATTTCACCCACACCCACCAAGGATGTTGGTCTTCCTCTCTGTCTCCTCCCGTGTCTCCGCGTCTCCGTGTCTCCTGCGCCTTACCTTCTCGAGTTTTTTCTTGAAGTCCTCGAGCTTGCCCCTGTCCCACTTGATGGTGGCCGCCCTCTCCCTCTGTGTGACGGCCCTGCCCGTCCTCTCGTCCATCAGCCACATCCGAAGCACCTCCAGACCTGCAGCAGGCAGTGAGAGCTCAGATGTCTCAGCGGTCTGTCAGTCGGTCACATCGGGAGCGCAAGGAGCACGCCGCACCTGAGCAGACCATCGCCTTCGGCACAGGCACGCTGCCCGGCTGGGAGGGGTCCTTTGGCTTGAGCAGAATGGTCAAGCTGCACAACACCACACCACGCCGTCTGTTCTCTTCATATGTCTCCGTGACACACAGCGATAGTGCCAAACGTACAGTGGTGTCGGGACAAATTTGAATTTGTCCGCCAGCTTGCCCTCCATATTTGGCTTGGCGGCGGTCTCCAGCACCACGATCTGGGACAGCTGGTCTGCCGTCAGCACAAGGGTCTTGTCCTTCCGGAGCCGCTCAAGGTCTGCCCGGATGCACGTCGGCGGCGTCTCGAAGAGCCCGTGCACATCGACCACCTCGTCAAGGGCGAGACTGAATGGGGAGAAGACAGCAAATGAGGCATTCAGGCGGGTAGTGAGACAGGCAGACAGAGAGAGAAGCGTCTCACCTGATGAGGTCTTCGCCGTCCCTCTCTCCCCTGAGCGACACTGTCTTGAGGGCATCGTCACAAAAGAAGCGGGCTGGGTGCACCTGCCCCCTCTGCAGGTCTATCAAATCAACAGGGATGCCCTTCAGCGCCGCTCTCCCAAACGCAAAAACGCAATTCTGAACGACATTCAGCACACACACACACAATGAATGGCTGACGGTGGCCTTGAAATTCCTTCTTTCTCTTCTGACCTGAAGCTCCTCGGGCGATTTGGGCACAGGCACGATCTCTGTGCCGTAAAGGCCGGAGTAGTGGATGGACTCCTGAGCTTCTTTCGTCAGCTGGAGCGTGTTTGACTTCTCAGCAGCGGGCTTGGGGAACTTGGCAGCGGCGGAGCCCTGGCTGCCCTTGCTGGCCCTGACCTCCTCGGTAGGCTCGAATCTGGCCTCCGGCTCCTTGTCCACCTGCCCACAGCAGTTGAAGAGAGATTTGCACCAATTTGCCATCGGACGGACAAACGGGGGCGAATGGAAGGATTCGCTCGACCGTTGAAAAAACGTTCGGATCGACATTGGGTCATGCGGGTGGATTACGGCAGTCATTCCATGCACACCTGCAGTCTTGCATGAAGCGGGCTGGTTGCGTCCGTTGTCTACCTGCATGAGATCTGTCTCCGTTGCTGGCTGCCACGAGGTGCCTGCATGCTGTCTCCGTCATGTCTACTTCGACCGACGAAAGCGCCATGCACGCCACCCAAGCAAGCCCGCAACGAGACAGTATCAATTGCATCACACGCACAGAAGAAGAGCGTCTCGATAGCATGGACTTGCGATGCCGAGGTAGTCTGTCAGAGATGGGCAGAGAGGAAGAAAGATCAAGGTCGTCCATCCAGTGTAGTATTTTTCCACAAAGACCTGGCAAAAAAGTGGGACACAGCCAGTATTGCAATAGGGCTGTTTGATCCATTGATCAGGGTGACGGCTCGAAGACCAACAAGCAGGAGAAGCGAGGCTGCTGCTTGCCCTGCGTGTCGCCCGCCGCATCGCCACTCAGACCAACAGATAACCACACACATGTGTATCAAGCAAGGACCGAGACAGTACACCTCAAGTCCATCATCTCGCGGGTGGTCTGTATGTGGGCATGTATCACTGATGCACAGGCACACCAGGTGACAGACCATGACGCATCTCGCTCCGTCAGGCAGTGACCTGGAGGACCCGAGAGACAGTGATGCACAACCCACACAAACACACACATGACGCAAGCCGTCGAGTCAACAAGGCAATCCATGATCGAATGAATGGTAAGGCTGCGACAAATCGGTGCCTTGCTTCCCTCCCTCCCTCCGCCCCTCACTATATATCTCACAAAACGGATATCGCGCCAAACCGGCAAAAACCACCACCTTGTGAACACACACGTGCTGAATTGATGCACTTACCCACCACCTGTCTGTCTGTCTGTCTGTCCCCTCCCTCACACAAACGCGCCCAGCACCTTGGACCGCTCCCTCTCCGCCTCGGTGAGGAGCGAATCGGGGATGACCTCGAGGATCTCAAAGTCGGGCTGCCGCAGCGTCCAAACGCCCCGCTTGAAGCGGCCCTCCCACCCCCGCCGGTCACTGCACACCTGCATCAGCGTCTCAGGCTTGGCGCCGGGGTCGAAGATGAGCAGGAAGCGCTCAACTTCAGACCCCTTGCTGCGCTTCTGTGCGCCGATTATGGTGCGTGAGTGGCCCTGGTGCTGGAAGTAGAGAGGGGGGCGGCTGGTGCGGCGGACGGCCCCGGGGCGCAGTCCCTTCTTCTCGTGCTCGGGAAGGTCGCGGCCGTAGTAGTTCCACACGTACTCGAACATGCGATCGGTCATCCGCTGGTGGGCCGGGTCGACGGGCTTCTTGTTGCCGTTGTTGTTCTGCCCGCCCTTGCCGCGTCCCCGCCCTCGCCTGCCTCGCCCGCGACCCCCCCTGCCGCCCCGATGGTTGCCGCCGTTGCCCTGCTCGTTGAATGGGTGATGGCGGTTGTCCTTGTTGCGGCCATTGCGCTCTGGCTGGAAGTAGTCGCGGATGTCCGACGAGGGGGGCGCCTTGGAAGCGGTGATGAGGGGCAGCCAGTCGGATTTCTTCTGCTTCTGCTTGCCGTTGCCGGGTGCCCAGTCGGAATCGCCGTCGACGTCGTCGTCCGAGTCGCCACCGTCCTCCTTCTCTGTCTCGTCGTCTTCGATGGCGCGTGGCTTGCGATCGGCCGGGGAGGGCGAGCCGTCCAGGACGATCGCATCATCGTCATGCCCCTTGCCGGCACCGCTGGATGGAGGGGCTGGGGGAGGGGGAGGGGCGGCAGCCGCAGCCGCCGATGAGGATGCGCCGGCATTGGTGTTCTTGTAGAGGTCACTGTCTGCGCCGTTGTCGATGGCCGGCGGCGCGTCACTGGAGCCGGCGCCGTCGCCCTGCGGACCCCACACGCGCTGCGTCCGGGAGGTGAATGCGTGGATGTTGCACCGAATGTCCATCGAACGGAGCAGCGCCGCTACCTCAGTCGTACCTGCACACACCCACACACACAAGACATCCGCCTCAATTGCGCCCTCCCTCTCTGGCATCACCCCTCCCCTCCCCGCCCCTTCGCTCGCTCACCGATCCAGACATCTCTGTTGGCGAGCTGGCCTTGGAAGTGGAGGCATCCCTCGGGGTCCCAGCCGCCCTTCCACGCCCTCTCGATGTAGAGCTGCATGGCGGCCACACACGGCACGAACCCTCGACCGCCGAACAGACGATTGCTGATGTGGGGATAGGCCTTGAGCAGGTGACTCATGACCATCTGGGCGTTCTTGTACCCACACGCCCACCTGACAGACGGAAGGAGGCAGACAGACAGACAGACAGATGTGTCGGTGTGTGCGATGCTGGTCATGGTAATGTCTGTCTGTGTGTGAGTGTGTGTGAGTGTGCAGCGGGGTGTGGCCCTCACCCCGCCTCCCCCTCGTCACGAGATGAATGGTAGTATGTGATGTCCGTCGACCCCAGACGATACTCAGAGAAGCCCCCGTCGTTGGCCTCGCCCACTGCGGCACTCAGCTCACTCATGAGCGCGTCCACCCCGCCCACCTCCTGCGTGAGGACGTCCTCAGGGTTGGCGGGCGACATGTTGTGCAGTGCCTGCTGGAACAGCTGCGTGTCTGCCAGGGCGCCGCCGCCACCGTCCGCCCTGCCCGTGCCGAAGAGGGCGGCCTCCTGTTGCTGGATCTGCTTGGCGAGGGCGAGCGATGCTTCCTCCTGCTCCCGTTCCATGACCTTCCGGGCCATGAGGGCGTCTGTATGGGGTGGGAGGTGAGGGAGGTGAGGGAGGTGAGAGAGGTGAGAGAGGGGGGAGGGGGAAGAGGGAGAGCGGATAGTGTGGCTTAAGTTGATGTGGGGTGGGGTCTGTGGTGGGCTGTGGGGTGTGTGGTTGGCTACCTGATGAAGACGATGGCCACTGTGCGTTTCCTTCCTCGTGTTGTGGCGTGTTGTTGTGCTGCAGCTGCTCTAGGTCCTTCCGCTCCAGCCGCTTGGCCAACTCCACTGACGAAGGGCCCTCTGCAAGACAACAGAGAGCACAGAGGGGGGGTGTCTTGTAGGTTAATGGATTTGCCATCTCACGCAGTCACCTGCACTTGCTGACGCTGCGGCTGCAGCATTCCGTCCGCGTGATGACGGTCTCCGCTCAAACTCCTCCGCCAGCTGCCGTGCCAGTGCCTCGTCAGAGAGTTGTTGCCCACCACCAGCACCAGCACCACCAGCACCAGCACCAGCACCAGCACCACCACCACCAGCAGCACCTTGGCCATACTCATCATACTGACAGAACACACACAGCGAGCAGAGAGGCACGTGTGCTGCCTGGGGCAGCACAGCCGCCAGAGGCGTTAGCTGCCTGTCCTGCGCCTGACCTGCAGTTTCAACGCCAGCTCCTCGTCTGACGTCATGAGTGACCGACGACGACGAGTCATTACACAAGTCCAATTACGCTTACAGCGAACTGAACGAGTTCAACGATATAGGAAAGCCGATATGGACGGCTTCTCAGGACTCTGACGTACGAGGAAAACTCTCAGGATTCACGCCAACACGTGGCGATTTCATTCTCGCAGCTCGCAATCGTTGGCCGGTTTTCCTGGGCCGGCCGATTTCTCGCCAAAGAAGAGGAAAGATCAGAATGGATACTGGCGCTGATGACGAGTTTCTGTACGGCGAGGGTGCCAACTACGGCAACCAAAACGACGACGAGCAGATGCCCGAGTACACGCCCCGGGCCGAGTCGGATGAGCACAACGGCGGCTTCGCCCAGGTAGGGGGCTTCGAGAGCAGCTACGCGGCCGACGAGCGCAAGATCCGTCAGCCTGACGGGGATGACATTGACGGGGGAGATCCGCATGACCGTGCGGTGGCGGTGCTGCGTGTGTACCACATGAATGAGAAGGCGGCGCCTGAGCTGCTGAAGATGCGGCAGGAGGTGATCGACGCCATTTCCGACGTGGCCAGCATCGCGTTGATGGAGGTGCGCAGGGGAGGACACCACATGGGCGGACGGGCCGATGGGTGCATGGGTTGCTCTGTGTGTCCGGGCGTGGTATGTGTTCATGCAGCTGGAGATGGCTTCTCGGAAGCCTTGGTCGGATTTCCTGGGCCGCATGCAGATGCTGGACAGCAGGAGGGTCCTCTACATCATACACGACCTGTTCAGAGCCAGAATGAGCAAGGTAGGTACTGACTGGCAATACGCCTATCGCACGACACCACACCACACCACACCACCACACCACAACCCACACCCCATTTGTGTGTGTATGTGTGTGGGGGGATGGATGGTCAGATATTGTCGAACCTGCGGTACTACGTGACGACTGCCGAGGACCGCCTCTCAGAGGCCGAGAAGAAATTCGCCAGACGGTACATTGATCGGCCGATCAAGTGAAGGCCTCTCCTCGTCCGGCCCTCTCACCATCCGTGTGTGTGTGTTGCTGCTGCTGTTGCTGTCGCTATCGCTGTGTGCAGTGTGTTGAAGCTGACGGATGAGCACTTGGGTGTGCTGTTCGTCAGCAAGCTCGACCGCCTGAGGGCGCGCGACGGCGTCAGGAAGAAGGTCAAGGCCCTGGACGAACCAAGGATGAGTACGCACGCGTAGAGGCGGGGGAAGGCAGCCAGCCAGCGGGGTGCAGGGCAGGAGGGGATCTGTCTGTGTGTGTGTGTGTGTGCAGTATCGAAGCCGAAGATGCACACACACGTCTTCTGCAGAGGTGGGTGGGAGAGGTGCGCGAGGCGGGGCGGGGCGGGGCGGGGCGGTAGCACACACATCCTGATTGACGTCTGTCTTTCCTCCGCCCTTTTCTGTCTTTGTCCCTCTCTTTGCCAGTGGTTGAGGACGTCGGCACCAAGAGATTCACCACACAGTGAGGGAGCGAGCGAGAAACGCACTCACTCGTACACACAAGTGTGTTTGGATCCATGTGTCCGTCCGTACGTCGGTGGCTGGGTGGATGCGGATGGATGGATGGATTCTGCGTGTCTGTCTGCACACAAAGGAGTGGTGGTGAGGAGAGCGAGACTCTGATGACGGGGGAGACCCTGGTGATCAACTACAGCGCCATCAGGCGAGTTGGTGGGCTGGTTGGAGAGAGACTGCACATGTGGTCTGACACTTGCGTGGTGGATCTCTCCTTCTGTGTTTGTGTGCAGGGACGAGGTAGAGAGGGGCAGCGTACGGCTCGTCAAGGCCAGGGCCACACACAAGGCCGCACCCGTATAGACCGAATGAACGAACAGAATGACGCGTAATGGTAGATGACGTGTGCGGGTGCGAAGCTGACCACACGGATGGCAATACCCATGTATGTGTGTGTGGAGGCTGGCAGAATGGATGGACGCAATTGCTTTCTGACGCTTGATTGACCCAGCCCACCCACCCACCCACAGCACACAGCGTCGCGTCGGTCGCATCGCTCGACACCTCACCACAGGCAGCACACACATCAACACAGCACGACAGACAGTAAGTCAGACAGTCAGTCAGACAGCGCCTGAGGATACTCAGTCAGTATGGATGGACTCTCAAAGCTCACACACATCCACACACGTCGAGGGAGGCGGGCACAGACACACGCAGAGAGCAGACAGACAGACAGACAGACAGGCAGGACGGGCAGCTGGAGTAGAGCAAGGAAGAGTGAGTGGGTGGATGGGATGAATGGGGCGAGGGGCCGGCGTCGACGAGTTAGTTAGCTGCAGAGCGCTGCCTGCCGGAGCACACGCACCCTCACACACGCACATACACATGCAGACGGGAAAAAACACAGCGATCCACAACACGCAACACAGAAAGAGCGAGTAGGGACCACCGCCCACCCCGGTTGCCCCAACCTAGCTATCCGATCGGCTGCATGTCGGGTGCCCCTCCCCTCCCTCCCTCCCTCTGTCATGTGGCGATTCGCGTCCACGTCACACATCTCATTAGAGAGCCACCGCACACACAAACACAAACACACACACGTACAGGGACTCTCAGGCAAACAGACGGAAAAATCGCCACAGACAGACAGACATACTGATCCGACCCTCCCATCCACTCCACC